TGGCGGGTCCGGGCTGGGGATTCGAACCCGCCACCTTAGGTGTACGTGGCTGGCGCCTTAGCCGGTTGAGCTATAGGCGCCGAGCCCAAAATGTGACTTCTTTTTTGGAGATGGAGTCTCTCTCTGTCACCCTAGGTACAGTGGCATCAGCCTAGCTCACAGAAACTTCAAACTCTTGAGCACAAGTAATCCTCTGACCTCAGCCTCCCCAGTAGCTGGGACTACAGGTGACTGCCACAATGTCTGGCTATTATTTCTATTTTTAGTAGAGATGGGGTCTTACTCTTGCTCAGGCTGGTCTCCAACTCCTGAGTTCAAGCAATCCTCCTGCCTCGGCCTCATAGAGTGCTAGAATCGCAGACATGAGCCACTGCACCCAGCTAAAAATGTGACATTTTTGATATTTAAATATAAAATTGTTGCTCACTTATAGTTTCTAAAAAAATTTCTACAAAGCATACATACTATTTATGGGATAATAAAAATACATTATTTTCAAATTACTGGCTCAGGCTTGGCACCTATGGCTAAAGTGGCTAAGGCACCAGCCACATACACCCAAGGTGGTGGGTTTGAATCCAGCCCGGGCCCGCCAAACAACAATGACGGCTGCAACCGAAAACCAAAAAATAGCCGGGCATTGTGGCAGGCACCTGTGGTCCCAGCTACTTGGGAGGCAGAGGCAGGAGACTGGCTTGAGCCCAAGAGTTGGAGGTTGCTGTGAGCTGTGATGCCACAGCACTCTACTCTGAATCCAAGTTTGTGGCCTTGGGGAGAAGTTGAAAAGAAAATATGTGGCTCAGCGCCTGTGGCTCAAGCAGCTAAGGCGCCAGCCACATACACCTGAGCTGGTGGGTTCAAATCCAGCCCAGGCCTGCCAAACAACGATGGCTGCAACCAAAAAATAGCCGAGTCTTGTGGCGGGAGCCTATGATCCTAGCTACTTGGGAGGTGGAGGCAGGAGAATCGCTTGAGCCCAGGAGTTGGAGGTTGCTGTGAGCTGTGATGCCACGCACAGATGTCTACCCAGGGCGACAGCTTGAGGCTCTGTCTCAAAAAAAAAAAAAAAAAAGAAAGAAAAGAAAATATGTGTTGTGGGTCCAGAGTAGGAGGAAGAGATGGATAGCTACAGGTGAAGAAAAATAGAGGGG